CATCGGACAGAGGTAATTGACCTAAGTAAACTCATCCGACCAAGCTCATCGATCTAAGTAATTCATCTGACCAAGCCCATCTATCTAAGTAAACTCATCAGACCAACCTCATCGATCTAATTAAACTCATCAGACCAAGCTCTTCGATCTAAGTAAACTCATCAGACCAAGCTCATCGATCTAAGTAAAGTCATCAGACCAAGCTCATCGATCAAATTAAACTCATCAGACCCAGACAACCAGGAGTGTCTTGAGACATTGCTAAATGTCCCCAGGGGGACAAAATTGGCCCTGGTTGAGAATCATGGCTCTAAGGGAATACGACTTCATCGGGCCTCAAAAGATTTCTTGTCATCAAGTTCCAAGGAAGATGAGCGTCTCCAGTTAAAAAAAATTTCACAACATCACAGGAAGAGCCACATCACGGGGCCAGCAGACAGACTGGACACTCAGCTACTGGAACTGTCAGACAGAATATAAAGTAGCGGTGTTCTATACATCTAAAGAAATAAGAGATCCTTGAAAATATGAACAAGGGATAGTCTTTGCAGTCTCTTATTCCATAAAAAGTATAATCTTATGCTACGAAGACTGGTCTAGTGTGAAAAAGAACTTGTAGAAATAAGCAATATAATGAAACTGAAAAAACTCAACAAATGGACTAAACATCAGATGAAATTTTTCAGCACAGGCGAAAGATGAATGAACCGAGATTATCCAGAACTCCGCCCCAGAGATGACACGGAGGACACGGAGGACACGGAGGAGAGGGAAAGGGCTGGGGTGGTGGAGAGGCCGGGCCGTGTCAGTGCGTTTCCTGAAAGAGCTAATAGGACAGGGAAGGACGGGCGGTACAGGAGGATTAACTGGCTCTGAAATCTCCAGATTTGTCTAAAAACGTCAATTCTCAGACCACAAATCCCGACGAATATCAGAATAAATAAAAAGAAATGTACACTTTCTCTTATGAGACTGTAAAATAATTCAGACAGATTGTAAAATATAAAAATTATTATAATAATGCAAAGAAACTGCCATAACAACATCAGAGGCCAGAGATGGTGAAATGATGTCTTCAGTGGTCAAGACAATATAATTATTAACCTAGAAGTCCATTCCTAGAAAAACCATCTTTTAAGAATGAGGGCAAAGTAAAAATATTTGCAAACAAAAATTGGGAGTTTATCGCCAAGAGAACTTCACTAAAGGAAATTCCAGAGGAAGCACTTCAGGAAGAAGGTAAAATTCAGAAGGAGTCATGAGTAAAGACAAGTTATCTATTGCTGCATAACAAATTAACCCAAAACTTAGTGGCTTAAAGCCACAAATATTTTCTTGCAGTTACTGTGGGTTAGGAGTTTGGGAGCAGCTGTATCAGGTGGTTCTGACTTGGAAACTCATGAAACTGCAGTCAAGGTACTGGCTGGGGCTGCCGTCCGCTGAAGGCCCGGTTGGGGCTGGAGGACCCGCCGCCTAGATGGTGCATTCACAGGGCTGTTGGCAACACCCATTTTCTGTCTCCGTGGAGCTGCTTGACTGTTCTCACAGCATGGCAGTGGCTTCTATAGAAGCAGAGACTCAAGAGAAACAGTCAGAAGGAAGCCATACGCCTTTTATGATCTCGTCTCAGAAGTCACTTCTGAAATCTTCTCTTCGTTAGAAGGGAGTCAGTGAGTCCAGTTCTTACTCAAGGTGGGTGGGATGGGTTAGGCTCCGCCTTTAGCATATATATATATATATATATATTTTTTTTTGTCTTTTTCGTGACCGGTAAGGGGATCGCAACCCTTGGTGTGGTGTCGCCCACACCGCGCTCAGCCAGTGAGCACACTGGCCAGTCCTATATAGGATCCGAACCCACGGCGGGAGCGTCGCTGTGCTCCCAGCGCCGCACTCTCCCGAGTGCGCCACGGGCTCGGCCCTTCTAGACATATTTTAAACCCACAGAAGAGGGGCCAGCCCATAGCTCACTTGGGAGAGGGTGGTGCTGACACCACCAAGTCAAGGGTTACGATCCCCTTACCTGTCATCTTTAAAAATAAATAAATACATAAATATGTAGAAAAATCTAAGCAAACATTTTGTGTGACAATGACGCTTAATCTGTGGGGGTAAAACAGGATGGAACTAAAATAATGCCAGTCATGGCATATAAGTAGGAAGAAGTGATTGAAGCTAAAGCAGTTGAAGGTACTTT